CAGCTGAGCAGAAGGTGGATTGACATCGGGGGAGAGACGAGGCTGGGACATCATGAGGGCCTGACTGTGAGTGAAGAGAAGGGCACATATATCTGAGAGATGTGGCCAAAGCAGAAATAAGATGTAAGGAGCTAGGGATAGGAACGAATGAATCTCAGAGAATCAGCTTTCTCCTGCCTGTTGTCGAGAGCTCAAGGCCAGAAGGTGGGGGAGGGAGAGGGGAGTCAGAAGGCACAGAGAGGTTGGTTTGGCACGGAGGCAGTGGCAGGGCCGGGGGCAGGCCAGATCCCTGGAGTAATCTGGTGAGGAACTGGGTCAGGGAGAAAGAGATCCTCCGGGACAGATTGTGAATTCCAGTGGAATCCAGGGAAAGGAGAAAGAAAAGCATGCGTTCGTTAGGGAGGACTTGCTAGAAATGTTATCCATTGACCAGAGTTTCTCTAGGGCCAAAGCTCTCTGTGTAATTATTCACCAGACTGGCACCCAGAGAAAGGGAAGCCAGCATTGTCTTGAAATCCCAAATTCGGGAATGGGTCAAGATTGCTCATGCTGGAGGGGAAATGTGATCAGACTGACCACGGAGGGGAGGAGGACAAACACGGACAGCTGCAAGACAGTCCAAGCTCATGCACAGAATGAGTTCACGATGATCTGCATTTAGCTATGGCCTTCAGTTGAATGAATCTGAGGGTTTTCAGTCGCACGCTAAATTGGGAAAGGGAAAGGGAGTGTGGCGCAGTAAACAGAATGCTAGTCTTGGAGTCAGAAAGAGCAGAGTTGAAATCCCACATCAAACATGTACTAGCTGCACAATCTTGGGTGTCATTGAAAGCTTCCAGGCCTCAGTTTCTCCTTAGGTCTTTCCCAGCTCTAAGTCTGTGATTCTACAATGATATGAAAATATGATTCTTAGCTTCAGGAAGCTCCCAGTCTATGGAACAGTCATGATTGCCACTCTCTGCAAGTCATCATTCCACTGGGAAGATAACCATTGGAGAAGACCATGTATAGAAGACCGAAACGGACAGAAAAAGAAAGAAGGAGCAGGAGAACAATATGTCCCCTTCTACACTGTTGTCAGTGAAGACCACTCTGAAAGGCCCCTAAATCAGATGAATTGTAATGATTAATCCTAGCCTGGGAGGGCAGATTTCGGGAGGGGGAAATCAGAAGCAAACACTTTTTAGGAGGGACAGGGTCAAAGGAGAGAATAGAATAAAGAGGGAGGGAGTCGGAGGGGGCCAGGATAGGATGGAGGGAAATATACTTAGGCTTTCACAACAAGACTATTATGGAAGTGTTTTGCATGACTACACATATATAACCTATATGGAATTACTTGTCCTCTCAATGAGGGTGGGTGGGGAGGAAGGAAGTGAGAGAATTTGGAACTCAAAGTTTTAAAAACAAATGTTAAAAATTGTTTTTACATGAAACTGGGAAATAAGATTAGGCAATGGGGTATAGAAATCTATCCTTCTCTACAGTAAAATAGAAGGAGAAGGGGATAAGAGATGAGAGGAGAGGGTAATAGAAGGGAGGGCAGATTGGGAGAAAGAGTATGTGGAATGGACGCCATTTTGGGATGGGGGGAGGAGAGAGATGGGGAGAAAATTTCAGAGCTCAAATCTTGTGGAAGTGAATGTTGAAAACTAAAAATAAATAAATTAACTAATAAAAATAAATTAAAAAAGATTCACTGGGGGTGGAGATAGATGGGAAATGATGATTACAATGTAAAAAGACAACAATAAAGTCCCGGCACCCCCCTCCCCCAAAAAAAGGACAGGCCATAGATACAGGCCAAAGACAGATTAAAAAGCACTAATTAATGATCCAAATTCCATATAGCACATTAATGTTTACAAAGTGCTTTCTCAGATAGGGTATTACTACACTAGTTTACTAGTGAGCAAATTGAAGCCCAGAATGGTTTGGTGATTTGTCCATGGTTATACAACTAATGAATGTCAAAGATGAGCAGAGGCTCAAACCCCAGGCCTACCTACTCTGACTCTAGCTTTCTGTATATCATGTTGCACCTCTAACCATGATAAATAAAGCTATAAGCATCAAGAATGGTTGGGGAGGGGGCAGCTAGGTGTTCAGTGGATAGAGCAACGGACTCGAGTCAGTAGATCAGAGTTCAAATCCAGCCTCAGACACTAACTGTGGGACCCTGGGCAAGTCACTGAACTCCAATTGCCTCAAAAAAAAAAAAAGAATAGTTGGGGAGAGAGAAGATCTTTGAGAAAAAAAGATAAGATGGAGTTAACCTGGGAAAGTTTGCCCTGTAGAAATCAGCAATCTCTTAGCCTATGTATTTCAGGAGTGTAGAGGGGAACCATGTTCTTCTCCACCATCCTCACAGTGTAGAGACTGTCTCCCCAATCAGGTCAGGGGCTCCCTGAGCATGCAGAGACAATTAGACCAACAGTTCCTTAAGGGCAGCTTCAGTGTATTCATTAGATGGCAGGTCCCCTCCCCCAACCCCTGCCTAATGAGAGATTCCATGCTTCTGATAGTGAAAGGGCTGAGTAGGGTGGCAATGTCAGACTGAATTTAAGATGTCTCTGGAGTTGAGACCCATACAGGAGATGGAGGTGGGGAGGGGCTAGAAGGAAGGGAAGATGTGTGGAGCTCACCCAAACTGGTATGCAGTCCAGGGAAGAAAACAACCATGATGAGACCATGAGACAGTAGGGCAAGGAGTGAAAAATACCTCCCTTCTCCCCAGTGCCTTTACATAGGAAGAGTCAAGGGTCCTGGGACAGACCAAAACTGATGGATGCAGATAGCTGTCTTTTTCCTCTAGGTAGGACAGGTTGGTGGGGGGGAGAGGGGGGAGGCAAATGATTTCCATCATCCCCTCTTCTCTCAGGCCAGGGTCAGTGACTTCTCACTTCTCCTATGCAAAAGCAAATTCCTAGTATTATCTCCCCTCTGCCACTGGCTTCCTCCCCTCCTCCCCAGGACACATCTGGAGACCCCTGAGACCTTGGCAAAGTCAGTTTCCTAAGAGAGGTATGATTCTATATAGATCAGGCACACTGGAGTGTTAGCAGAAAGAACCCGTGTATGTGTTTCTGTGTATTTGAGGCCCGTCTGTATCTGTGTCCTCAGAAGTATATACATCAGTCTTCGCACAAATATGGTCTAGCCATTATGCATACAGAGGTGTCTACCTTTCACCAGCAAAAAACTCATTCACCAAACAGAAGCCACACTCAGCTTCCCACCCTGACTCTGCCCTTGTCTGGGCAGATGCACTGTTTCCCAGCTACTCGGCTCTCTGGAGTGACAGATATAGCCTCTTCTGGAGACCACAGCCCATGCAGGAAACTAAAAAGCATCCATGCTTCCATTGTTGTGGTCTGGAAGTGCATGTTCCTTGGTAGCCTTCACATCCACAGAAATAAAGAAGCGTAACAACCAAAGATTGTGTCTCTCTAAATAGAAACAAACACGGGTTTCTGGGGACATGTAAGTGGGTGCTTGTGATCAAAGATCATAGAATGTTCCCAGGGGAAGGGAGCTGAGAGAGCATAACCACCCTCACTCCCACCCCGGATTTTATAGAGTAGGCTTGTCCAAGGTCAAACAGCAAATATCGGGGCCAAGATTCTAACTCAGATTGCTGGATTCCCAGGCTTCTGACTATGACCATGGCTGTCCTTTTAAAATTATTTTTCAGCATCTTTTCTCTTTAATAATTAGGAAAATGAAAGTGAGCATCTATCTGTGTTTCACTGCTAATGTTCAAAGATTCTGTTGCAGATTCCAGTGTGGTGGGCGTGGCCCTGACTCAGCCCTGAGAGAGAACCCTAGGAGGGGGAGGGGAGAAGAAAGGAGTGGAAACCAGGCGAAAATCAGTTTATGGGGGAGGACCATTGGAATAGGCAGAGCTAAGACCCAACTGACCACTCTGCCCTCAAGGTCTCTCTCCCAAAATTTTGTTGCTAGGCTTCTGACTGGAGGTCCCCAAATTTCAAGTCCAGGATGGCCAGAGCTCCTGAGGAAGTTACCAGGCTCAGTCTCTCACTGAAATGTCCTGCTGCCTACTCATCCAGGCTCAGGGATAAGGTTCCTAGTGACACTATGCTGGCAGGGAGATAGGGAACACTGTCTTCAAGATAATGGGGGGATGTGCCCCGACCCTTAGGGAGCCTTCAGACAGGAGGGGAAGCCAGTGCCTAGCAGTTAGCACTGTTCAGGGCTGCAGACACTGGCTGTGGGTCTCGGGCCTCGGACAGCACTCAGCAGCCGGGGTCTGAGAACAGGACTGCGTCACTCAACCTGGCCCAGGAAGGCAGAAAAGGCAAGAACAGCAGAGTGGAACTGAGATGGGGGGATGGGGACTAGTTATAAGTTATAAATAACCTTGGTCCCAGGGCAGTGCTGAGGGAGGGAGGGCAGTGGAAGTCGGGCTGCTGTTGTGGACATCCCAATGGAGGGCCTCATCAGGAAGGATCGATCCTGCAGCATCCCAAGGAAGGGCCAGGCCGCCCGACCCCCACACCTCGAGGGGCTGAGCAGGATCCTTCCCACCTGCCCTGGATCCCTCAGGCTGGCCTGAACTCCGCGGTATGTCTCACTAGAACGCTTCCTGCAGCCTTTTCCCGACGTTTGTAAACCGATGTCCCTGGTTTTCTTTTCCCTCCTCTGGGCCTCATTCTCCCTTTGTGTACCTTGCTCTGTGTGTCTCTGAGTTGGTTTTGCTCTTTTTCTCGGAGTCTCTGATGAACTCTGTGCCTTTATTTTTGTGACTCTTGTTAAGTCTGTGTTTGGATTTCGAGTCTGAGGCTCTGAGTTCAAATACCAACTCTATCACTTACTACCTGTGTGACCTTATTACCTGTGTGGAAAATCGCTTTCTTTCTTGGGAAATCTCAGGTCCCCTCTGAGGTCCCTGTTCTAGCTCTAGGATTCTTGGCATGTGCGTCTTCGGAGTTTCTCTCGGTCTCCCTGTCCCCCTCGCCTTCTGCCCACTGGCCTCTTACCTTTGAACACCACCGAGCAATAGGAGTCACTGACGTCGCTGTCACCGGTTTGGACTTTTTCTGCGTGGAGGATGAACACCCTTAGCATGCTGCCTCCCCTGTCGTCAGCAGGTAGAAGGTGGTGGGAGATCCCACAAACACCCCTCCTTTCCCTGCCCGCCCAGTCCCTGGGCACAGTGGTACAGCGGCTGGAGCAGGCCCCCGGCTGCCTCTCCGGCCCTCCAGGGAAGTCTGCGGCTCTTCCCTTGCGTGGCTCCCGGGAAACAGCGGACTCGACTTTCAGGCTCCCAGCGCAGCAACGCTCTCGAGCAGGTCCCAATGGACTGGCCGCTCTTAAAGAGAACCCGACTCCTTTTAAGGGACGTGCCCAGGACAGTCAGATCTGGGAAGCTCTTTCAGGGACACACTGAGTCAGCAGGGAGCAGCTCGGCCTTCGAGACTGGTCGGGCTCCTGCCCTGTCGAGTCATTTCGCAGGCTCGGGAGCGTGGGCTGGACCATAATCCAAGGCTCGCAGCCAAGTCTCCCCCGGTGACATTGCGTTCTGCACCTGGCCTATGGCTACCCACTGGCCACGCGGAGGCGGAGAGTTTAAACCGGTCCTTCTATCCCAGAAGCAGCGGAGGAGGAAGGCGGGTCCTGGCTGCCGAGGACCCGTGTAAGAAGAATAAACGATGATGCTCGCGACAATAATAGATCTTCTAGGGGAGGGAGCTGGATCTTGCTAGAGCCAGAGGACCGGAGTTCGAATTCAGCCCGGGGTCTTCCTGCTAGTGTGAGGGACAGCTTGGAAGTCAGCTGAGCCCTGCAATAGTGAGAATAAGGTAAACTACTGTAAAGCGCTTTGTGACCCTTAAACGCTATAGAAATGCTAGCTATTTGGAGGCAGAGTTCAACTGCTGTGTGTGAGATCATGGGCAAGTCACAACTGCCTGGAGATCTCATCTATAAAAATGCGGGGGGAGGGTGGGGGGGGAGTAGGTGACTTCTAAGGTCTCCTATGGAAATACATGACTCAGTGATCCCGACTTGGGGCGGGGGGGGGGGAATTCAGTGCCCTCTCTAGGCCCTTGGCTTGCTCATCTGTAAAATGAAAAAGTCGGACCAAATTACTTCTGAGGCCTCTTCCAGTCCTGAAACCCAGGACTGTAAGATTTGTAAAGCTCCTTCTTCAAAACAACATCACACAGTGGACAGTGCAAGGATTATCGTTGTCTTCCTTGTCCAGAGAGGAAACTGAGACTCACTGAAAAGGGAATTATGCAGGTCCACATGATCATCGCCAGTGTTTGCAAAGCTCTTTAAGGTTTGTGCAGCACGTCACATAGGTGGTCTCATCTGGTCTTCACAACAGCCCAGGGAGGGAGCTGCTCATTTCGTCTCCCTTTTACAAAGCGTATAAATGACAGAGGCTGGATTGGAACCCAGACCTCCTGACGCCCAGTCCATCGATTTTTCTGCTTAACACATCCCCTCCGACAAACGATCTGGACGTCCATGTAACTCCAACTCGAGTTTTTATCCTCCTTTTCCTGGGGATTCTGATCCTGCCCTATGTCATATGTAGAAGCATATCTAAAACCCCATTTATAATAAAACTGAAAATATTACAAAGTAATTTTGTTCCCCAAAGACTCTTCCAGACTCCTAGGAAAAGATGGGTGGTAGGTCAGATTAAATGATAGGACCGAATAATCAAAGAAAGTTTCTTGGGGAAATGGGTAAGGAAAGCACCCATTTTATTTTTAAATGAAGAAAAACCTTTGTTTTGTTTATATCATTGTCTTCTCCACCTGGAAGGGATTTGGTTATTGATCCAACTAAGGGTAGTCTCCTCTTTACCTGCCCACCCACAGGGATTGCTCTTCTCCACTAAGAAAGGATTAAGATATCAATAGAAGAGAAAGAGATAACTTGGTTTAACTGAGCAAGTGAAGGGAGTGATCCAGGAGGGATGGGCTAGTGACTTGGGTTGTTTAATTCTGGAATGATAACCCAGGCTGTATTTTAAGATAACATTTCTTTGTTCAGGTCAATCAACCAGCATTTATGAAATGCCTACTGTGTGCCAGGCATTATACTAAGCACTGAGGATACAAAGACAGGCAAAAAGACAGTCCCTGCCCTCATGGAGCTTACACTCTAATGGGAGAAATAACATGAAAACAACTTTGTGTAAAACATATGTTTGTATATGCATAAATATAAATATATATAAATATGTATAAATATAAACATAGGCATAAAATATAAATGTGTCTAAACACATGTAGTATGTATGTGTACATATATGTATGTGATATATATGTACACATGTGGTAAATTGGAGATAATTAACAGAGGGAAGACAATTGTTACCTGAAGTTGTCTTGGGACAGAGAGTCACATTAGACGGTATGGGGGACTATGCTAGCTCATACATCTTTCTCTTCAAGCTAGATATAGATTAATGTTTCTGGCAGACCAGTGCCCCAAAACAGAGTACAATATTCATTTTTTTTTTCTCTGACACATATCAAGCACAGAGAAATGGCATGAAGATAGATGAATGGGAACCTGTGGGCTCCTGGCGAGGGACAGGCATGTCCCTGTAGAAATGCCCAGAACTGGGGAACTGAATCCCCCACCCTGGACAGATGCAACTTGCTGCTGACTTCTTGGAAATGGATGGCACACCCTCCTGCTAGAAATTTCTTGCCCAGCACACCTGTTTTAACTGGCTCTTTCTTAGGAACCGAGGCAAAAGCAGTTACTGAAAAAAGGGGATCGTGGTCCTGAATGGCCCGAAGGGAGGGACAAACACTCAGAGAACCCTCCTTCCCATAACTGCCATTTATCCATTTCATGTACATTACACTTATATGGCTATATGTATCTCCCCACTTAGAATGGAAGTTCCTTGAGGGCAAGGACTGATTGACTTTTTTCTGTGCCTTTCCAGTGCTTGCAATGCCTGGCACAGGCTCTGTTCATTAACTCTTAAAAAGGAAGGGAAAATTGAAACTGTTGTAGGGAATAATGCCTATGACCAGTGGCAGTCCTGGCCCAGGAAACCATTTCACTTGCATTTGCACGCTTTCACAAAACCTAGTACAGAAGCCTGAGTGTACCCTAAGCATTTAACAAGTGCCCTCAGGGAGGCTAATCTGGGGAGGGGGTGAGTTTACCTGCAGGAAGTGACTTTTGACAAAGGGGGATGTTCCTATCTAACCAATGGAACAAATAACCTAGTCCTTTATTCTAGGACTAGGATACTTACCTGGGGTCTGTGAACTTGCTTTTAAAAATATTGTTATAACTTTCATTCAATATGACTTTTCCTTTGTAATCCCATGTATTTTATCTTGTGCATTTAAAAATATCATCCTGAAAAAGGATATATGTATGTACACAAAAAATTGGCTAAGAAACGCTACTACAGACCTGTCTTGCTAATAAGAAGCCATTTGTCTGGAATGGAGTTTTGGAAGAAATCTCAAACAAAGTAAGTCTTATTCATTCAAGGAGGGGGGCAGGGTGGGGAGGGTGGAGGGGAAGAATCGAGAGTAATAAATTCACAAATTGATCTGGAAAGTAGTTTAAATCATAGCTATTCATTCATTCCACAAGCATTTATTAAGGCTGTCAAAGACTTGTCCAACCCTCTTTTTTATACAAGGAGACTGAGATGCAGAGAGGGAAATTAGCGCTACCAGAGCTGGGACTCAAACCAGGTCATCTTCACATGTCCTCATCTGCTTCCTGTATGTCCCCCATTAGAACACAAGCTCCACAAGGGCAGGAACTGGTCCGTTTTCTCTTTGTATTCCCAGGACCTAGAATATGGACCCTCAATCAATGCATGTTTGTTGGTCACTATTTTTTAAACTTAAAAGATCTGTTGATGCCTCTTGGTTTTGTTTTAAACACCAGGGACGTGTCCAAATATCAACCTCATCTCAACCCTCTTTTGTAACCAAAAGAAAGCCCCAAAGCCCCTTAGACGCCTAGTGGTGGTGTCTGTCTGAATCAGAGAAATACTCCTACTGTAAACTAAGTATACTTGTCCTACTTTCAATTCCGTAGAATAAAGTGAAGCTGTTTGATAAAGAGAGGAGTCAGTTCTAATTATGGAGACCTAAAGTTGTCTGAAAGGACATAAGTTCCTTTGAATATTAAACATGGGCCCTTTATGAATGTTTGCTGATTGGTTGATTCATTGCTCCCTGCAATATATTTTTAAATTTTTTTCTGCAATATTATTTATGCGGTTCCCCCCCCCCCCCAATTTGGTCAGTAAACTCCTTCTGCCTAGAGCCTAGCCATTATTGGAACCAACTCCCTGTGAGCTTGTCCGACATAAAAGCTCTCTTGTGGGGAGATCTCTTTGCAGCATTCAATTCCCAGGCACCTTGGCTCTACAGGACTGGCTCCCTCAATCCCTCCAGCTATATTTAGTGTCTCTTCTGGTTATTTATATGGTGGCAGCATCATGTGCACTAAGCAGACTTTCCCATCTCACCCCTCCCCACCTTCCTCGCATGGGGCCATCAGGCCAGAAAAGAGACCCAAACAGACCAGGCAGGAAAATCCCCTGTTCCAAGGTCCACTCACTCCTGGGTCTTCTGCAGCTAGAAGGTGGCCTTTTAGGGTTTGAATCACTAGAAGAAGATCAGAATCAATCAATCATTTGCTAAGCACCTCCTATGTGCCAGGCAACGTGCTAAGTGCTGGGGACACAAAGAAAGGCAAAAAACGTCCCTGCCTTCAGGGAGCTTCCATTCCAATTCTGTGTTCAAATGAACAAAGTCAGAGTAACAAATAGAGTCAACAAGGGAGCCTAATTTAAAGCAGCTGCTAACAGAGAACCAAAAGGTAACTTTGTGGGCAAGTAACCATTGCATTGGAGAGTTCATGATAGAGAAAAACCAGTCATGGTATGATGCGAATCCTTGGTTCTGGGAAAGCCACTTTCAAAGGATTCGAAGAAAGATTGGACAGGAACAAATGGACCAACATTCTTCAGGGGATGTGGTTCAAGAGAGATAGATAAAAAGAAGGATAAAAGTCTGAATATCCAAGCAGCATGATTCCTATAAGGAGGGAAGAGGGGAGTCTACCCAGAGACACCAATTGGGCTTCATGGAAAATCACCTCCCAACTCAGATTTTTTAAAAGACACTTATAGAAGATGGAAGGTAGGTAACTGGATAAATATATAGAAAGATATAGAAAGTATTTTTTAAGCACTTACTGTGTGCAAGGCACTATGCTAAGGGGAAGGGATTCAAGTGCAAGTAATCAAAACATTCCCTTCCCTCTTAAATTCTACTGGGGGAAGACCACACATAAAGAGAAACTAGAAGGGGAGGGAGAGAGATTTTAAAGGGAGGTGGAGGGGGCAAGCCTGCTGCTGAGGAAATAAAGTCCAGAGTGTGAATCCAGCTAGGTAGGGGTGGCTAGAAAAATGTCCTAACAGTTCTATTCAAGGTCAACTGTCTACCTTTGGAGGAGTTAGGTTACATCACCTTGGATATCTTCAACCAAAGGCATACTGTTAGGTATGTTATCATGGAAATTTCACTTGGGTATGGTTTGGGCTGGTTGCTAAGTTCCTTTCTCACTCTTAAATTCTCTGGCTCAGAGAAATAAAGTCCAGTACTAAAACAAAGAATAAATAGATGTTGATGATGATAACCAAAAATGGGTGCCATATCTCTGATGGGACCAGGGCAGATTGAGGCATAGTTTAGACTACTTGTCAGGGTGGACCTGATGATGATATCATTAGCACTCTACCCAAGTGGACTGGGCTGTCTCAGGAGGTAGTGGGCTTCTTCTTACAAGACATCTTCTATTGCACACGTACAGCCTATATCAGATGTCTTGGGGAGGGGGAAACAGAGGGAGAGGGGAAATTTAGAGCTCAAAATCTTATAAAAGTGAATACTAA